CCACAACAAAGTGGGAGGTAGGTAATCCCCAAATGGTCACTATCCTCTCTCTGGAGCCAGAAAGATTTTTCCATTGGTGTTTCATTTATTTATTTGTTTGTTTGTTTGTTTATTTGACAAAGAAAGAGATAGCAAGAGCAGGAACACAAGCAGAGGGAGTGGGAGAGGGAGCAGCAGACTTCCCACTGAGCAGGGAGCCCGATGCGGGGCTGGATCCCAGGACCCTGGGATCATGACCTGAGCCGAAGACAGATGCTTAACGACTGAGCCACCCAGGCGCCCTCCATTGGTGTTTCTAAGTTGCTCAGTGACAGGTATGAGAACTTGCCTGGCAGGAGGGAGAATGAACCCCTAGACAAGTGACCTGACCTGGGGGAATAGGTCAGTACCTCTGGCCACACCCAGCGCTGGCCTATTACCCGGCATGCTGCGGGAGGGCCCAGTGCTATCCCTCCTCTGCGTTCCTGGAGGCCGGCCATCATGACCCATCATGCTACTGGCCCGAGTAAATACTTGCTAACTGACTCTGTACACAGTGTGTAATCGATAAGGTCACAGAGAGAGGCTCCAGAAGGGAACGCCAACTGCACGTGGATGAGTTTTGGCAGGTGAAACGGAAATAGAGGCCTGCAGGGGTCTGGGACAGTCGTGTGAAGTCTGTGTAGAGCAAGGTATTCACAAGGGAGGGAGGAGCCGTGGAGCAGGCAGACAGATGGATTTTCTTTTCCTTAACAACATGGTTAAATTAATTTATATGCCTCCTTTTGTCAAATCTCAGATTTGGGGTCATTTACAATGGTGAGTTAGTAAATGATTAGTTAGTAAATGATCAGAAGGGTTTACACAATTATTGCAACTGCAAAGCACTTGGCTTTGAGGTTCCTGGCAGCCGGGGCAAAACGGGAGAAGCTATGCCTCTCAGCTTTAAGCAGCTTCCGGGAGACAGACAGATGTCCCTGATCTAAATCTTAAAGGGAATCCCTTAGGATTCCTGAGGAAGCTCACAGGATGAGGAAATAAAATGTATCTGCAAAGGGAAAGGAAAAAGTGGCGAAGTTGGGGGGTGGGATGGGGAGGGAGACGACACAGAGAGCTCCTTGATATGACACACCCTCAGAGTGAGCACGGTGAGGGCACCCGAGACCAGACCCTGGTCTGACTTGGGCTCTGCCCATGCCATGCTGCCTCTAGGCCAGCCCCCCCGCCAAGTGAGGCCCCTTTAGCCCCTTTCTTGCTCCTTCCAGGCCCATCCCTCTTACCCCACTTCCCATGGGAGCTTCACCTCCAAGAGGGCTCCTTACACATCTGTGAGCCATTCCCTCTTCCCTCTCCTGCTCAAGCTCTGCACGGACCCGTTTCCCACTGCGGTGCAGGGAATGACTACTAACTGGTCCAGAAAGCTATGGGTGGTTGCAGATGGTCTGATGGTCCAACCACAGTAAGATTTCAAAGCTGGAAGGGGTCTAGCAACTGTTTGGGGGAGACTAGAAGAGATTCTTTTGTCTTTAAAAGATAACCTAGTAATACTAACAAACCCAAATGATAAACAATGCATACATTGTTACATGTTGTTTATAACCCACGAAGATAGTTTTTTTGAGAAGAACTATATGCAACCTGAATTCCTGAGATACAAAAAATTATAATCCTATTAGGGAGTTTCTTAGGACCCTGCAGTGGCACCTTCCTAAAAACACACCCGCCCTGGAGTGTTAATAAAGAGCCCCCAATCTGATGTGTTTTCAGTGTGAGATTGAGGCTCCCCATGCTGCCCCAAGGCCTCCCCAACCCTCTCTGGATGCACTGGGTTTTGCATAACACGTCAGTGTGCTGGGAGAGAGGAAAGGCAGGTGGCTGAAGAGCCTGAGGTGGGGCATGCCTTTAAGACATGTCTGAGTTGCTCCCCTTACTGATGGTTGATATTTGACCGATGCTTCATTTGGGGGCCCAGTTTTCTTTGGGGCCACCAGCAAAACACACCGGTGGGAAGCTGACTGGTGTTTGGGGTATAGTCTATGGTTCTCACTCACTGGGGATTGGCAGCGGTGAGAATCACTCACTCCTGCATCTAAGTGCAAGGGGCTAGACTGAGGAGATCCCCCGGAGAGGCCACGCAAGTCAGTGCGGGGTAAAAGGACGCATGCGTGTGAGGGCAGCTGGGATGCCAGGCCAGAAGCCTTCCCGCCGCCCGCCTCCCAACGTCCAGTTCCCTGACTCACGTGCCTTCTAGACACCAATGACCTCGCACGAAGTTGTCTGATCCTGACCCTGCACCAGCCCTAAACCTGGCTCTCTGCTCACATGTAATATAGACACAGTTGGCCAGAACAGAAGCCTTGACTTCTCTCCAAAATCTGTTCTCGACTCTCCCATTTAATAAACGGCACCAGCAACCCCCTAGCTGCTCGAGCCAAGATGCTGGAAGACACACTCTCTAGTCCCTCTCCATTCTGTCGGGCCCTACCCCAAACCAATCAGAGCAGAATCTCTGGGGGTGGGGCGCAGGCGTCCGTACTTCTTCAAAGCTCCCTGAGGGATTCTAATGTGCAGCCAGGTTTGAGAATTAGTGGCTTAAAATACACTCCAAATTCAACAGCTTCTGTCCAGCTTCACTGCTCCCACTTTGGTCTGAGCCATCAACCATGTCGTGTGCAGACCACTGCCATCCCTCTAATCCTCCTGGGTCTCTGCTCCACCTCAAACCCCCATTACAAGCACAAGACACTGTTTTTTTTAAAAAATCAGGTCATGTCATGCCTCTCCGTTGGCTTCGCACTACATTGAGAGTAAAGAGCAAAGCTCTCATGAGGCCCTCAAGGCCCTGCACGATCTGGCTTCTGCAGTCCTACCTACCTCTTCCAGCTCCTCTTGCTCCCACTCACCACGCGGAGGTCACCCCGGTCTTAGTCCTGCTCCCTGAATACTCCAAGTGCGTGCCTACCTCTGCGCTTTTGCACCTACTCTCTCCTCTTCCTGGAAGGCTCTGCCCTCAGGGGCTTCATCTGCCTGACTCACAGCTCCATGTCATTTAGGTCTCAGCTCCGAATGGCACTGCTCAAGGCCTTCTCAGATCCCCTAGAGCTAAAGCAGGCCCCCTGTGCCCCAGAAAAATCACCACCACATCACCCCGATCACACTCTTCGATTGTCTTTAAAATACTTATCACTGTTTGAAATCACCTTGTTCGGTCGCTCACGTCTTCACTGCCTGACCCCCTGCGCTAGGACGTGAGCTCCAAGGAGGCAGGGATGCTGGTCTGTCTTGTCACAGCTGCCGCCATTGCTCAGAAAGGCCCTCTCACGTAGGAGGCACTCAATGGGCATGGCATTCACTTTGTCCCTCATCAGGGCCCCCAGGGCTCTTCCTCAGGGCTGCCAGCATGATCCCTGTAAAATGACAACTGGGTCTCACCACTCTCACTCAAAATCCTCAGGGGCTCTGAACCACCCCTCGTCATCCAACTGCCACCGAAACCCATCCTCCTCCTCAGGTCCCACCATCCCACGCAGCTCCCGGGAGCCTCGAGGGGCCACACGCCTGCGTGCCCGCTGCTCTTGGCCTGGCCCACCGTCAGGGTCTTCCTACCCTGCCACCTGCCACTTCCCCTGCCAACAGACGCTGCTCTCGCAACAACTGGCCAGTGCGACACCCAGCAGCCGTCCTCGTCGGCTAGACTGGTTCACGCCCCCTCCCTTGTTTTTCCACAGCAACCCGGGCTTTCCTCTGCCACAGCCTTTGTCGCATGGGGCTGGCCTCACCTGTCTTCTCTAGACAGAGGGCACTCCAGTTGGAACCACATACAGGTCTTCCCCCTGCTTCTCGACGTTTGCATTACGTCACTTGGCCTTTACGAAAGACCCACTTTAGTACCTGTTTCGGCCAACGCAAAGACATCCGAAGAGGATGTTCGCTTTTACAATATGCGAATTGCTTCTTTGCTTGATGCCGTTTGGCTTATGAAAGGTTAGTGGGGGAAACCTGTACGCCAAGCCCTTCAAGGGCTGGCTGACTGGTGACCCCATAAATGGTGCCAGCACGTGCGGGAGAAGAGGTGCTATCCGGACCGGCTGTTGATGTGTAATCGAGCTGGGAAAGCTGCTCTCCCTCGGGATGGATTAACAATCCACCGCCTGAACCGGCAGGAAACGGAGCCCTTCGAGGAGGGAACGAGCCCAGGACCCAGGGTCTCTATTTTGCTCTCCCTGGGGCTCACAGAAACAGAGTCTGGGTGGCCAGTGCCACGGCCAGTAGGGGTGCTTTCCTTCTCTTAATTTCAACATACTCGTCCTACGCACTCAAACAATGAAGCCACAGGAGGTCTTTATCAAATCACGCACTCTCGCTTTTCCCATACGAGATAATGAACAGGAACGGAGGGTTTAATACCAGGGTACACGACGTTCAGTAGCCACTTGCACAGCTTGGTATATTTAGCTAAGTCATCAGGCAGAACACCACCGCTCTACCCACAGATATTCACCAAGAGGCACTTGCTGCCGCCTGAAACAGGCTTGTCCAGCTTTTCAGCAAAAGATGAGCCTCGCCCAAAGTGAAGGCCATTTCCGTGCAGGTTCCTGGAACTGGATATGGCTTTAATTTCAAGAGCACCTCGCTGCAGTCCTGTCTTCACTGGGAAGCCCTGCCCTGACCCAACCCCTCAGCATGCCCTCCGCTCTGATGATCTGTCCCCAGTCTCCATGGTTATCTGACTGTGCCTTTCGAATGAACACGAGGCTAGGTTTCCGCTAGGCCAAACCCCTCCCGTAGCAGGCTCCATTACCGTATACACCCGTGTACATACAGGTTCATCCAGCCAAGACAGAGAGACGCTGTGGCACAGATGGTGTCCCCTCGGGGGGGCCTGAGTTCACTTTCCCACCCCAGCCCTGGCCCTCCTGTTCTCCACACTCCCAAGGTCCAGGGGAACATGCGGGCTGTGGCCATGCCAGGGCCAGAGGAGGAGAGTGTGGGCTGGTTAAAACAGGCCCAGACATACTCACGGGGTCCGTCAGCATGGCCCGGCAATGGGACGCCAGGGCCAAGAAGGCCAGCAGGTTGAACACGACTCCGTTGACGATGCTGTACACGTAGTCTCGGGATGGAATCAGCATGACAAAGAGGACCACAAACTCCGCATAGAGGACCAGAAACCAGGTGACAATGGCGCAGGCAATGCCACAGCCGTCACGGATAAACCACATGGTTCCCACAGGACCGGGGTGGGGAGGTGGGACACACTTCTCTGGCTGGAGGTACTCTGGCTTCCGCTCAATGTCTCGGAAGTGGTGGGTGGGGATAAGCATCATAAGCTATTCTGTCCATACTGGCATCTGGAAGAGAGAAGAAAGGACCCAGAAAATTGGTGGTGTCTTGTTATCAAGGATATTTGACAAAATTACCTTTCTAAAGTGAGCCATGAGGGATGCCTGGGTGGCTCAGCCGGTTAAGCGTCTGCCTTTGGCTCAGGTCGGGATCCCAGGGTCCTGGGGCCGAATCCTGCCTCTGCCTCCTTGCTCAGCGGGGAGCCTGCTTCTCCTGCCTGCCGCTCCCCCTGCTTGTGCTCTCTCACACACAAATAAATAAAATTAAAAAAAAACAACCTTAAAACTCAGTATGTAATGGGGCGCCTGGGTGGCTCAGCCGGTTAAGCATCTGCCTTTGGCTCAGGTCACAATCCCAGGGTCCTGGGGTCGAGCCCCGCGTCGGGCTCCCTGCTCCGCGGGGAGTCTGCTTCTTCCTCCCCCTCTGCCCCCCCAACTCGAGCTTGCTCTCCCTCTCTCAAATAAAGAAATAAAAAAATCTTAAAAAAAAAATAAAATAAAAAATAAAATGTGAGTGCTTGGGACACCTGGCTGGGTCAGTTGGTAGAGCATGTGACTCTTGATCTAGGGGTC